ATGGTGAACCTGTTAGAGACAGGCATCCAAACTGCAACCCAGAACCTACTTACTCATCACAAAGGACCAGCACTGCAATTAAACCTGAATACTGAGGTTTTAGTCTGGAAAAAACAACTCATACATTAACATCTTTGGTCTTAAAATGAAATGACACACATGCCATACGCTTGCCACCACTGTGCCACACAGGCTCGGTGGCCCCGGGGGCATCAGTAGTCACAGGAGCCGGTCCATGCAGCCAGATGCTGGAATCATTCCAAATATATGTCAATTTGTAACTGACGAACAAAATGTAGTACACTGGTGACAACTATTTAGGGATTAAAAGCAGTGAGCAGCTCTAATTTTAGCTGGTTCTCAAAACATTTAATGCTACATTTAAGAAGCCAGCAAGTGCCACAAAATAGTATGTATTGTATGATTCTATTTATACAAAAATTTTTTAAAATAGCTCATTTACAGACGTGCAAAGATCAAACATGGCTTGAAGCTGGCTGGGTAGGGATGGGCTACAAGAAGGATTTACTACAAATAATTCAGTTGTACACTTCCAGTGGGTAAAACTGTAACATGTAACTTAAATATTTAAAAAGTTAAAATTGTAAAAAAGGGAGTAACAATCATTGCCAAAAGAATTCTTCCTATGGGATTCTCATAATTTCACCTGTCTGTAATTGAAAAAGGAACCAAAAGTCTTTCTATTCCCTAGAATGTGTCTTCAAGATAGTCCTGTGGTATTGTTGGGCCCCAGTTTCCCCAGCTGTAAGTCACATCTCAGCCCAAGCACAGGGCATAGGGTGTTAGGTTGCTTTTTTACCCACTTCCTCAGCTGCTAATCTACTCAGCAGATGCAAATCAGGTGTGAGAGCTGCTGCGCAGAGTTAGGGGGATGATCACTGCCCTCATAGACCTTGTAGAAGAACGAAAGAGCTACATGAATATGTGCAGGAAACTAATGCACAGACAAGAGCCGTTGCTACTGGAAAGAGTTGGTGTTAGAAATAGCCATGCCCTGGAACACTATATGATACACAAAAATGACATTTGCCACTGTACCCAAGAACACCCCAATCTTGCTGGAAGAGCTCACTATGGAGATCTCTGGACCTAAGATCCCAAAGACCAGAAAGACTTACCAGAGACAGTGACAAGGGGTGCAGAGTAGCACTTTCACATTGTCTGGGCTCTGCACAGGTAACCCCGTGTAGAGCTCCGGCTATCTGGGCCAGGGCCTGCAGAGTGACTTAGGGCTCTTCACTCCTGGGGGCCCAGGTCCTACTGTCCCCCTGGTCTCCTAGGGAGCAGAGACAAAAAGTGAAAGCACTGAAGAGAGCACAGAGCTTAAGGTACAATAGGGAAAATTTGGGTCCACCATTACTGTAGGACTTCACGCATGAGGGACAAACTCTCTCCTTCATACAACATGTTGTCCCCTCTGCTTTAAGATTGCCATGGGGGCACCGCTGTCCCTCCATCTGGAGGTTCTAGGTTCTAGGACGAGCGCTGTTACCTCGCCTGTGCTTTGTCTTGGCTTTTCCACCAAATATCTGACCTGTGCTACTTTAGCAACTCAAAGAGTTTATGTGGAGCCCAAAGACAGCGAACTCTTAAGTACCAGGTGAGCTTCACTTTTTCTTCTGTAGATGAATACATACAGGTGAATTCTTAAGTTAATTTTTTTAGCACACATTTTGCTCATTGAGTATTTAGTGAAAAAGATTTTTCCAAGCAGCAAGCACACAGTGATATTCACTGTTGTATAAGGTAGAGACAGTAATGGGGCACAGGTGTGAAGCACAGGATTACACTGTGGAGACAGAGTTATAAATACAGCCCAGCCTTCCAAGACTGCCTGAGAGGAGCAGGTCCCACTGGGCTGTGAGGGACAGAGGCCCAGAGAACCCAGCCCTCAATCTGAGTTCTGGCTGAGGAACGGGGTGATCAGAGAGATCTGGTTGGCCATAAGGAATCAGGGTGCCAGGAGGGGGAGAGAGAACAGCCAGTTACGGGGGACAGAATGGGCTGAAAAACTGGACCAGGAGGGGTCAGGACATAGCCAGGCCCAGAGAACAAATGCGTGCAGCCACAAGGGGACAGTGGGCAGAAGGGCAAGAGGGACAGGGCCAGGTGAGCCTTGGTCCATGCCTTGGCTGTCACCTGCCTGCGGCTGAGACTTCCTACCACACATGCTCACACCCACCCAATGCAAACCATCACCACTTATTCATGCTGCTCAGAGTCCCAGATACAGAAGCAGCAGTGTAAACCACGGGTGCAAACAGCTCACTAAGCAGGCCAGGAAACGAGGCCGGAGCCACGTTCAGAGAATGTGGATTCAGCATTCACAGGGCCTCTGGTTCCGGTCCAAGGCTCTCAGGGATGAACGCCCGCGGCAGTCCCTCATTTCACAATGTCAAATGATGCTGCGGGAGGTAAGCCTTAATTCTAGGGCAAACCTCATTGCAATACAATTATTCATTTATTTAATAAATATTTATTAAGCACGTATGTGCCAGGCTCTGTGCTTAATAAATTATTAAATTTTAATCATGGTATGCATGGACAAGTGTCAGGGACATGAGGAGGCATAATTTCTCATGTATGCTCTCGTTTACTGTTGAGTTGGTACTAGACACCACAACTTTCACACCATGGCCCGGATCTTGCAACTTTCACGGTGCCATCAGGTGACCTCTACAGAGGGATGATACTTTACAAAACACAGGCCTACAAAGTAATTTGAAATCTTTTATAAGGAGATCCCCCTCAGCCCCTATTTATAAAAGTCATATTTGCTCACTATAAAAAAAAAAATAAGTCAGGAACACAAAGAGTAAAACCTACACCTCCAATCTTTTCACACAGAGGGGAGCACTGATTATATATCGTGTTTCCAAGATGCTTATCCCCTATGCAAAGACTTCTTCAGATGTTATCTTTTGGGTTATCTAGCTTTATATGTTTACAATAGCATTTCTCAATCTTATTAAAAACTATTGCAAGCATTTTATCTTGCAAATAGCAACAAAGTAAAATGGTCACTTCTCTAGATTTTTTTCATATGTTTTGCAATCAAAGCCACAAGTACATTGGTCATAAAGCTCTCTGCCTACATGTGACAGTCAGGAGCATTTGTGTTGACAACATGTTTTCTACATACAAGCTTATTTAATAGCCTTGGCCATGCTATTGCCTAGAAGTGATTGTTTCCCATAGACTACAAGTAAAAGAAAAATTAAGCTGGATTTGGTGGTGCACAGCTGTAATCCCAGCACTCAGGAGGCTGAGGCAGGAGGATTGCAACAAATTTGAGATGAACTGGAGAAACATTAACATTTATTGAGTACCTATTACATGCATAGCCCTGTGCATAATGTTGTATATGCTTTCATCTGCTCTGGGACAAGGTCACCATCGTGGTGGGGCCATTGCACAGAGGAAGGGAAGAGGGTGGGGTGGCAGTGGGACTTCCCTAGGTCACATGCTGGCTTAGGGTCCTGCTCTTAATCCGTCCTGGGCTTACACAGGGAGTAAATGGAAGGAATTTACAATTAATTGTTGCCTCAGGCCAAGTCCCCAGAAGCCAAATTACTACCGTGGAAACATTCCTCCAAAGAACTTTTCAGCCATCCACCAAGTCCCACTCCAATTAGGAGAGGGTGGAGGACCGTGGTGCAGGGCGGTCTGTGCGACCCCTCTGGAGCCCTAGCTTGGCTCACTTTCCATCTGTGCCGTCACCGCCCCTGAGCCCCACTCCTCCGTGTGGCTCCTGTGACGCCGGGGTGACCTGAGCACCCACCTCTGCGTGGCCACAGCAGGCAGAGTCCAGGGAAGGAGAAGGAGGTTCCCTTTAACTTCAGGAAAAGCAAGCAGGTCTGGGGCTGAGTACTGAAATCGCTGCTCCGAGCTGTGGGCGAGGGACCGGAAGTGGGAGCTCTGGACTCCGCCTTCTGCAGAGTCCGGGGGCAGCAATTTGTGCCGCCTCCGCCGCGGTGCAGGGGACACTCTGGGCCGGACAGTAGTCTGGGCAGAGGACGCCGCTCTGTCGTCTCCTGGGCACACCGCAGTGCGCGCTCGGTGTGGAGCTCATTTGCTTTCAGGAAAGAGTGACACTGCAGTCTGGGAAGAAGCAGGAGGGCGTCAGTAAGCTCGCTGCAAGCTCTAAGGGCATCAAACAACTCGTAAAACAGCACTTCAGTGAATCAGTGTATCGAAAACATATGGAGAAGACTTCTCCGAAATTGTATATGCAGTGAAAAAGCCAAATGACAAATGCCTCGGGCGTCACACATTTTGTTGTCATTTTGAATTTGAAAGGCAAATGCGCCTACCATGGCTCTGTCTGGGTAAGTATACTGACAACAAATAAATATATAGATACACTTAATTTTGTATCCAGGAGCAGAACCCCACCCTCCACCCCAGCCACATTTCCCTCCCTTCTGTCGCTAGATTTGCTGAAATATCAATTTCCCCTAAAGATGAAACAGCCCTGAACCTCAGCTTGCTCATTTAGAAACAGTTCTAAACTTACAGCCACGGAGTAAATGTGGAGCTCACATTTCTAGAATGCTTTGAAAACCTAATGAGCAGAACTGACTGTGAACATCATTGCGAACTTTCTCCGGTAAAATAAACCCAAGTCAGCAGCGCTGAGCTCTGCAGATAAAACACCGCAAAATCTTCGACTGCGAGTAACTTGTTCTGTGAGTGTTTAGCAAGAAGAGAAAACATTTCTAATAAGTTTTGACTTGATAAGTGAGCAATGCCTTGCAACAAGAGTAAACATCACATGATAACGACCTCCCCCGCCTCTCTCTCTCTCTCTCTCCCTCCCTCCGTGATTGTGGGTGATCGTCTCCCAACTGCAAGAGATTACAAAGATCTCATCTGCAGAGGAGAAGAAAAAGGTGGAGGAATCTCTCACTCCAAATGAGATCAGGGAGATGTGTACAGTGTGAGAAACAGTGCAAAATTTTATAGAGAATCACCACCCAAATACAGCTGCGGCAGTGTGAGAGAGGAATCTGTTTAAACACAGCGTAATGTCTCATTTCTACACAATCCTCAAAAAAGACGCAAAAGCAAGTATCATTGGATGAGTTGCTTTTTAAAGTTGCATGAAAAGAAAAAGATTCCGTGCAGCCAAGAGAGAGCAGCAATTCCATTAGTGATAGCGAAAGTTGTGCTGCACAGTAACCCTCCTCCCTCTTGCCTCCCTCACACCAGCCACAAAGGTTTCTGAAGGTAGGTGCAGGTGAGTTTATTTTTCTTTATATTTCATATTTCTATATTATTTTGTATTATACTACAGTACTATAGCCATGTTTTGGGGTTGTGGAACAAATCATCTGAGTGTCCCTTATTTCTTTGGGGAAATTCACTTTGATATACAAGTGCTTTCATGACAAGCGTGTTTCCAGAACGAATTAGGATCACAAACCAAGGTTTAATATGTCACTTAAAGAAAATAAAACAAGAGTGAAAGGCCTGGAGAGGTTAAACCAATTACCTGATCAGGATGGTCTCAGCTGGGCACCTGGCACTGTTCTAGGGTCTAAGAATGATTGCTAAGAATAACTTTGATCCAGGAATGTATGTCATTCACTTTGCAATACCTGGGAGGTTAAAAAAAAGTGTCGAACATGTATGAATATGCTGGGGCAGTGTCTTGGGATGAAAAATCAGAAGCCAGAGAGGCCCGCAGTGTCCCATGGGCTCTCTGGCCACACACGCACAAATAAGGGGAGAAAATAAGCCTCCTGTCCCCACTTGCCCATAATGCAATGGTCATGTGTTGCATCAGAAGACAAAACATGCTCTGGGCAAAACTCAGAGCAGGGTAAGAGGCTCTGGAAAGGAGGGAAGGATGAACAAATGGGTGAACGAATGATTTCCATAGGGGTCATTAAGATATGCCCAGGTTAGGTGACATCTACGGTGTCTCCTCTCCCACAAAACACAGTGTGAGAGTCCCATGTAAGTTTCGGTCATTTCTTCAGCTTATTCTACTTTGCTCTTTATCTTATTTTTGTTAGAGACCTAGTGTTACTTCTTAAATTTTCCACACTTCCACTTACTTCCTCCTTCATATATCCAACATGTCATCAAGCACATCCTTTTCTCCTCTTGTCTCTTAAGCACCATTTATCCAAAATTATCTTCCCATTCTTCCAGAATGCCTGGGATATCTTGGATCTCAGTAAAGAAGTATTAAATCAGTCAGCATTTTTAGTTCATGCCTCTGCTGGTCTCTGTGGATTTTCAACATGTAAGCAGCCCCTATTTCCACACTCAAATCTTAATGAGCACTTTCTTACCTTCCTCTATCCGATGTCCAGAAGAGGCCGGCTCTACAGACACGAGAGAGAACTCACTTTAAATCTGATACCATAATATTAGACCCCAAGTGGCTGCCTTCCAAGAAGCTGAATTTGGTGTTGGTAATACGATGGGTAAAGGTCTGTGTTAAAACTGGAACCTGCATGTTTACTTCCATGCCCCATCATATGGCTTCTCTGATGGAGAACAGGTTTCAAAATTCCCCACAGATGGTGATACTTGCTAATTCTTTGACAAACAGCTCCTGTGATGGGCAGACATCAAAGGGAATACAGGAAGTATGTTAATCTGTTTAAAAATCAACTCAAAAATATCCTTTAAAAGCATCAAGAGATAAATGCAGCAGTGTGTGAAATATACATCTTTCATCCTGATGCCATGATTATCACCCAGTCTTCTCTGCCGTGAGCTCTGCCAGCTACTCCGGTTATCTCGGTCACCATGCCTAGCACCCGGCAGCATCTTCCCGTGTCCCTCTGGTCCTTCTCCTCCACAGTCTGTCTCTTCCAACTCTGAAGTCTCTGTCATCAGCATTTGGCCGTCCACCTGTGTTCTTCTGGTCTCTGGTCTTCATTTCTAACAGAACTACAGTGCTGCTTGGACAGAGAAACTCTGCTCAAATCACCCTGCCAACAGTCGTTTACTGACGAACAGAGTCCAAATAATTTAGGTCACATCCCAGTCATTTTCTGTTGCTGTAACTGAATACCCCAGATGGGTAGTTTATAAAAAATAAAAGCTGGTTCAGCTCGGGGCTGTGGATGCTGGGAGGTCCAAGGTGTGGGTCCTTCTTGCTGGTGAGGGCTCCTCAGAGTCTCAAGGTAGCACAAACTCATGACAAGAGGGGCACACACAGAAGCCAGAGCCTAACTGGCTTTTATAACTGGCTCCACTCAAGATGCCCCGTGAACCTACACATTCATCAACTTATCTCTCCATGAATGGCTGGAGAACTAGTCATCTCTTGATGGCCCACCTGGGCCTTCCTCCCAATGCCCCACTGTGGGGATTAAACCCCGAGGCAGCATGGCGGGGCCCCAGGCCAGGACACCCAGGGTGGAGTGTGGTGTGGAAGCCGTCAGGAGCCCTCCACTCTTGTTGGAGGTGAGCCGTCCCCATGCCTCTGTCCACTCCCCACCCTGCCCATGCACTACGCTCTCACTTCAGCTTCTTGGGAAACTCGCACAGATGGCCAGAGTGGAGCACTGCGTTACACGCATGCCTTTCAGATTATGCCTTTCATTGTTGCCCTCAAAATGGGCTGGCTTCTGTGCAGCTGCTCCAGTCTACTGAGTAGGAGCAGAAGCAGCCAGGAGCCCATTCCTTGGCAAAGCAGAGCCAGCAAAAGGAGAAAGTCCATAGCAAGCACCCAGCCCTCCACGGCAGAGCTCCCAAGCCCATCCGGAAGTGTCTGTGCAAGGGAGCAGGAGGAAGGCAGGGCCAGAAGTGGACGTGGCCTGAGCATCCTATACCCACCTCCAAAATTGTTTTAATAAGCTCAGGGCCATCTGGGAATCTTCTTACAGTTTAGGCCCAGGCTGTCTTTCTCTCTGTTCTCATTCCAAATGACACCATCTCTCTTTCTTCAAGGGTCTAAATCCAGGTAACTGAAGTGTAATGAATGAAAGAAATCCTTCTGCCGGATGTTGGGCATTTTATTCTCAACAGTACCCATCTAGAAAGTGGGACAAGTTTGACTAAAACAGTCCATGACAGAAACAGCGGATTTTAGAAAAAAAATAATGGTCTGATGGGTTAAGCTATTTCTTCTAAAGGAAACCAGGGGGATCTACGAATTCCACCATCTAACCAGATCAGCCTCCCCTGTTTTCATCAGTCAGCATAAAAAGGATATCAAAGGTGAACCACCTCAAAGCCCAGCAATGAAATAATTTTCACAGCGAACATGTGGCTTCACACTCTTGAGGGTCTGTTTTTTTGTTTTGTTTCCAAATCACAAATCACCTTTATGGAGGTCAGAGAGCTCTTGTACATCACATTTTTCTCTACTTCCACTTCCACAAAAATCATTTTTTTTTTCCAATGGGCTGCAATGCCCTGGGCATCACTCAGATCCTATGCAGACTCTGGGGCTGAGAGGAGTATTTCTCAGAGGGTCATGAACTCCAGTGAGTGTGAATTAAGGATGAGGCCCAGCTACTCCGGGAGGAGAGAATGTCCCCTGTAAGAACCCGAGTGGCTTGGCAGTCTCTGAGGCTTCAGCAATGTCGGTCAGGCAGGGACAACAGGGAATGGGGGGAACCAGCTTTCCAAGCCCTTAACACCAAAAAATGCCAATTAAGGAAACACCTGTGCATAAGGGCCCTTTATTGATGGGGTGAGCACATGGTAACAACTCAGACCTGCTGAGAAGTAGCAGGGGATAAATCTAAAGACCAGCACATAGAGAAACCTTTTTTCCCCCTGAAAAGGCCAGGACAGTGGCGAATACCCTTTGTGAAAGCAGCTGCTGAGAATTACAAGACTCGGGAAAACAGAGGAGGCAGCTATAAAGGCACAGCATGAGTAGAAATGCATCTCAGAACTTTACAAGGAAATCGGGTCTACTCTACTCAACGACCAACAGTAAAATTAATTTTAAATAATGGGACACCCATTGGGGAACTGAGAAAGCTCCCTATGTTATCTTCCGTTTTTGCCATCCAGGAAAACACATGCATACATGTAGTAAAACTGTTTTTTCCTGAAGATGTTGAATAAGTGGCCACCATCAATACCGACTTTGCAGGGACAGAAAAATGCTTTATGATCCAGATATTCATTTCACAAATATTGATTAAGGTATTACTATATATAAAGCTGGGAATATGACATAAAAAGCCAGTCAGAAGCAGCTTTGGTTCCTGCTCTCCAAATATCGAACTGTTTAGATTATTCCATCCTGTATCTTTGGCTTTCCCACTGGCCAATTAAAACAATGAGCCAAAGTGTTGTGGTCACTGATAGCTGACATTTTTGGAGAGAGACTTTACCCAGTGGTGTACCATGAATTTGAATCCTGTCTCTGCCACCTACCACAGCTGCGGCCCTGAGCTCCTCCACCCGAGAACAATTGATGATTTGGGATGGAGGATTTTGGCTGTGTGGGTCGCTGACCTGTGCATTGTTAGATGCTTAGCAGCGTCTCTGCTTTCCACCAACTCCAAGCCAGCAGTACCTCCTGGGTTTGACAAGCAGAATGTCCCCCGATATTGCCAAGTTGCTTCATTGTGCATGAGATTTAAAAAATCATGAAACCAACTTTACTGTTGTATACTTTCTATGGACTGTGTGCACAGAGGAAATTAAACTGAGTTCTTACAGGAGTCTGTAGTGTGGAGTCTTCATAGGACGTGTGTTGTTTTGAAAAGATCATGGTGCTAGACCTAAATTCTACCCGTTTCTGGTTAGTTTTAAGTGACTTTCTCACCCTCATTATCCCTGGACTCCTACCTACAAATACCAGCCTTCCTATGAGCTGCTGTTAACCAATCCCCATGGCTGCCCCAGCTGTGTACTGGTTTTTCTGGTCCATCCTAAGTGAGGCTGGCTGTGTTCAGTTTAGTCTAGAACCCAGCCAGCAGGTGCTAAGACCTGGTGTCTTACAGGTCTGAAAACACCAGGGAATAACCCAAAAGTATATACTGATGGGTTAGATTGAGTGATGTAGCCTATAAGTAATAAAAAAAGGGGGTCAGACATCACTACTCTTGGTATTTCTTCATTTTATTCACATGCACCTCACAAGTGGAAAGTGTGATTGTTATTACAAAAAGTGTAGTTTTAAATAAATAAAACAAAACAGGAGCCAAGGGTTCTACCACTGTCTTGGTTGGCCTCAGGCCATGTTATTGACCAGAATATACAATAGTTTTGTTAGTCACTTCGTGTTTCTAATATTGATCACTCTTTTATCTCTCTGGTTTATAGGTATGGATGCCCAGACTTGTAATCCAAATGCTCATTGGATTTCCAAAGAATACAGATTAATACCTGTCTCTGCTGAAGCAAAGAAAAATAGCCAAGTGACTTTTCTTTAATTTTCAAAGCTCACGAGGGACATTGCATGCTGCTCTGTCCTCAGTGGACACAGGGCATACTATCAGGTTGGTCTTGTAATGTCCTGATCATCTCTTTGCTGAAATCATTTGTCAAACTTAGGAAAAAAAAGGCAAACAGAGCCCTAACAATCACTGTGTGTCTGATAGCAACCTACAGACTGCAAATGCTTTAATTTGCTTAATCTTGGCAATGCCACTGTTCCTGAGATTAAAAGATACGATGAACATCCTTGCTTTATAGATGAGGAAGTAAAGTGCGCGGAGGCTAATAACCTTGACCATGGTAACGCAGTTAACATTTGGTAGGGCTGAAAATGGAACCCAAGAAAGCTGGTTTGAAAATTGATATAGTTAAGCACCACACCATAAAGTCTGTCTAGTTATTTTAATGAGGGCGGGCAGGGGAGGGAATGGGAATAAGAATGGGAGAGAGGCGAGTTCCACCTGGTAACTCACTATTTGGATACTACTTGGAATCTCTGGGGATATGTTTGTTTGTTTGCTTGCTTGTTTGATTTTGTTTTCTTTTGGTGCCAGTGATTGAACTCACAACCGTGTGCTTTTGAGGCAGGTGCAGTGCCACTGTGCTAAATTCCCAGCCTCTCTGAGGACATCTTAATGGGAGGAAGGACCAGAGGCATTGAAGAAGCTGAGCATGAAGACAAAGTCACTAATGCTATCAGAAGGCAACTGCCCATTTAGTTCCTTGGGAGAAGTTGGAAGACAAAGAGGGAGGAAACGGGAATAGAGGTGTACAAAAGAAACCACACTGGCTTCAGTTCTGGTTCAGGCTAAGATGAATGTCTGTCATCTTCAGCCATACACCGGTGGTTCTGAACCTCAGCATGGCCCAGATGCTATCACCCAGGTCCCCAAGTAGCCTAACCTTCATCCAAAAGCTGAAGTGCAAGGGTGCTTTATTTAAGGAGTCTGACGTTCCTGCCAGCCAGGGGCTGTGGTCCAGTGATAAAGCTGCACTCCAGAATAGGTCAACAGTAGGAGCCCACACCTCAGTAAACAACATGAGTTGCATTGCATCCACCATACAAGGCTCAGCACCAGCTGGCTGCCAAGGACTTCACAAAAGCCAACACAGGAAAGCAAAACAAAATAAATACAAGGAGGAAAAGCCAGTCTGCAGCTCTGACAGGAGGCCAAAGAAGTTGTGTAAGAAGAGGGAGAGCAAAGTAACTCCTGATCTCTCCAGTAATGATACAGTTTTACATACACCAATAAAATCTAAAAGAAGGGAGACATGCTTGACTTTGGCTCAGTTCAAGAGAAAGGGCTCAACAGAAACTTGTAGTTATAAGGAGAAGATTGCACCGAGAAAGATATTGTTTTAGTTGACTTGGCCTAAAGAGACTTAACGTTTATACAAAATCAGCAAGAATCTCAAATAAGCTGTGAAATCAACATTGGTCATATGTGTGTTAAGGGTACCTTTCCTGGTACCTGGGTACTTCTGCTTTTTTTAACTTTATTTCATAGCTCACCATTTCAACAAGAAAGAAATATGATACTCTACTTTATCTTTCATAAAAATGTAAACAAGATCCTGACTCACAAAGCCATGGAAAGAAGGAAATGGAACAATGTTAATGAAAGACATGAATATTTATTTGCCTGGCACTCACTAGCTGATCACTTACTTATTTGCTTATTCATTCATTAATTTATTAATTCCCAGGTTACAGACAGACAAGTGAAATAAAAGAGACTGACTTTTTATAGGCATATTGAAGTACAGCTTTTAATTGATGTCAGCACTGTGGCCATTTGACTTGAAGTTCTTATCTCACACTTGAATAAAACTGATTAAATGATCTCTAAGGTGATCAGCAGTAAAATCGTGTGGATTAAATGTTATAAAGAACGCTTTTGCAAAATAAAATGATTATACAAAGAATTGTTTTATTACTTGCATTCTGGGAACCTTTACTTGTAACAAGAAGTCTGATCAAAAATTTAAAATGATCTGTTTGGTTATTTAAAGAAAAAAGTTGTGATATTAATTGTGAAGCAGCATTTCATTTCCACCACTGTGGCGCATAACCAAAGCTCTAAAAGCAATTGAATTTTGTACTGAGTAGTTCCTTACAAAGTTTCATCTTGCACAGATGGCATGGCATAAAACTGTTGGGATCGTTATTTATTTCAAAATATTTCAATCTAAAAAAACAGAGAGACAACACATCTCCATTTTAAAGATGTCTTACGGCAGGAAAAGAATAACAGCAACATCTAGGATTTTTAGTTTCAAATAAAACTTTTTATAAAGGACATGTTAGAAATAAGTATAAACACACCAGCTATTCAGACAATAAGATTTTAAAGTCTTTATAATAAATGCCCCAGGGTTCTACTGACATAAAGAGTTGCTATTCTCATCCCCATCTTTCTTCTGTTCCTCTTGGGCAACCGTGTATCAACTGTGAACACAGCAAGTAACACCTGTGTCCAGTTTTTTAACTTAAAAACACACAGGACACATTGTCACAGTTTTCTTAAGGCATGTGGAATCGGTACCTCAAGAGTGGTACATGTGGTACTTTACATGGGTTGAGTTTACTATTTCATTTAGCAACCTCTTCACCTGCACACGACCCATAGCAGAGTTGGCATACCACAGCCTGAAGGCTGAATCTAGCCAAGCAGCCTGTGTTTATTAGTCCTTGAGCTAAAATGGTCTGTATGTTTTTATAGGGTCATGAAATATAAATGAAAGGAAGAAAATGAAACAGAGAACAGATATGACCCAGAAATCTTCAAATAGTTACTTTGTGACACTTTACGGATAAAACTTTGCCAGCCCCTCCTTGGTCTGTGCAACGAAATCTGAGTTACCCGTCTTGGCTTTGGGGTCCCTCTCAAGGGAGCTCAGTATATTTCTCTAGCTTTCTCCCCTCCCCTCTGTACATCCTCTGTGTCTGGGTGGCCACTGACCAGAGCAGCTTCCCCAGGACTCGAAGAAGAAGAAGGGGGGAGGAGGAGGAGGAGGAGGAGGAAGAGTACAAGAGGGGTGTTGAGTGGGCACCTCGCAGGCCCACCCTGGACCCCCGTCTGCCCAGCCCTTGTGAGCGCCTCTTCTCCCAAACGCAGCCAGTGCAGAGGGCTGGGACGTCACCGTTCTTTCTTTCACTCTTTCTGCGATTGGTTACACCGACTAGTGGTTCCCACTCTGGCAGATTCGCACATGAACGTAACATGCTTCGACCATTTCGGCCCCATCTCCCCCTTGGCCTCCCGCTCCCAGCCTCACATTGCACAGAAGGCATCTTGCTTATATCTGCCCTCGTGGCTTCTTCAGCTGCCTTTTTTGAATTTGTATTTTTATTCACGCATTCTTGCAGTACATCGTGATCGCACGCGCTGTGGGGAGTTGGCGCCCACACTTAACACATCTGAGTTCTTTTTCCTCCCCTAATCCTCTCTCCCTTCCCCCTCCAGCCATCTCTTGGTCCCTTTTTCACGTGCAAAAGCTCTATTTTCCCGTTTCCTCTTATCTGTCATTTACTTTGCTCTTTGTTCATACTTTGAGTTGTACCTGTTGCCTTAAGATCTTTAACACTTCGTACTCCATTTAGAAAAGAATTCACCTGGCTTTGTGGCGGGAGCGGGGGGGGGGGGGGGGGGGGTG